CTATCTCCCTCATATCTTGCCTGCTTAAAATTCTTGAAAAAATAATATATTTTAGGCTGCGCTGGTTCTTGGAATCTCGACACATCATACCAGACTTCCAATTCGGTTTTAGGCCATCGAAGTCATGTGCTGATAACTTAAGCACTTTTACGAACTATATTCACTCTGGCTTTCTAAGATTGGAACATACTGTAGCTGTGTTTCTGGACATCCAAGGAGCTTTTGACAACGTCCTGCTATACTAACTCAAGACTTATCTGATATAGGCATTCCGGCACGCTGTCGCAAGTTCATTGAGAATCTCATAAGCGAGAGGCGCGTTTTCTTTGTTAAGGACGGCAAACTAGAAGGCCCTTTTCTTTCACATAAGGGCGCCCCTCAAGGTTTGACGCTCAGTCCACTCCTCTTTAATATATACCTGAGACTCATCATTAAGTGTATCCCGCAGGGAATTCATATTTTGCAATATGCGGATGATATCGTCTTATTCACTACAAACAAGGACGTGGGGGAGGCGCTAGATGCTATTCAGGTAGCACTGGATGACATGTGGCGCTTTCTGCGTTTTAGAGGTCTGGAACTATCTCCGGATAAATCCAGCTGACTGCTCTTCTCAAAGGCTAGATCTAGATCCCGCCCCTTCCAATAAAATATTGCGCATTCAAGATCACCCAGTTCCTCGCACCTACTCCACACGCTTTCTCGGGATCACTTTAGACCACGCTTTGAAGGGCGAAGCCCACCTCAAATACCTTGTAAAAAAGGGCAAAGCCGTGGCAGACGCGATGGCGTCAATTGCGGGTACATCTTGGGGAGCGCACCCCGACACCCTGCTTAATATTTACCGGGCAGTACTTCGTGGCGCGATCGAGTATGGTTGCCTGATCTTCCGTATCACCGGAAATAAATCATCTTTTCTGAAGCTCGAGAGACAACAATTTCGAGCCATTAGGATCGCTCTGGGCTACAGAGCCTCCACGCCGATAAACGTAATGCTCGCTGAAGCAAAGGAAGTTCCCTTGCGAACTAGATTCATCTACCTCACGGACAAGTACTTGTATAAGTTGTATTCACAAAAATTTAGTCCGGTTCTTCGCAGTCTGAGGCACATAGAATCAGTGGCCTGCACAGACGCTCTCGTAACGAGAGCCCACAGGAACATCCCTTTTATTTGACAGATATATGGCCACCAGACACGTACTAAATGACGTTTATCGTTCTACCTTTCATCCGGCGTTTGACAGCGACTATCGGCTTTCTATTTATGGAAAAGACTTCGACGGCTCTCTCACGGACATTCAAAGAGACACACCTCCGAGTGCCGTAAAGGCCAGATTTCTGGAATACTTTGCAAATTTGCCCCTAGAAGCCACAGCCTTTTACACAGACGGCTCTAAATCCGAGGAACAAGCTTACGTAGGAGCGAGTGTCTACTCTCCCAGCACTAACTTTATTTTATGCCATAAGCTTCCTTCATCTGCTTCCATTTTCACCGCTGAAGCATGGGCTATACGGCATGCGATTACGGCTGTCTCTGATCTGGGTATTGAGCAAGCGATTATATTCTCGGATTCTAGGAGCGTCCTGTCTGCTATCGCCTCACCAAACTTCAAACAAGGAAACCACCTCATACATCATATCAAACGAAGTCTCATCCTGGCGAAGGCAACGGGGAAAAGAATTACTTTTTGCTGGGTTCCGGCACATAAAGCAATTCCGGGAAACGAGAAGGCGGATCGCCTTGCAAAGCTAGCAGCATCGAGCGGCACCAGAACCCTCATCACAGTCCCGTTTACAGATCTTCAGATCGAGGCTAATCAGCATCGGAAGGACTCATTCAAATACTACTTGGAAGACTCATCCCTTGTCAAAGGAACACAATATACTGAACTGTATCTTAACGAATCCTCTAGACCTTGGTACAACAATAAAGGATTGAAGAGAGAAGAAATTGTGTGCATTTCTCGAATCCGAAGTAATCATTACAATCTAAATTACAGTCTATATAGAAAAAATATCGTCGACTCTCCAGCCTGCCCCTGTGGAGAAGCAAGACAGGACATTAACCATGTCATTTTTTACTGCTCGTCATGCATCCACAAGTCTAGCAAACTTTGCACCTTTATTAAGAAAAACTTTCCTACGTATTCTGTCGATATATTCCCTATGATCAAAGACCCTTCTCCCAGATTCTGTAATCTTATTTTCACATACCTTA